CATCCTCTGTTCTCCTCCTCCCCAAGTCCATTGCATCCTCTGTTCTCCTCCTCCCCAAGTCCATTGCATCCTCTGTTCTCCTCCTCCCCAAGTCCATTGCATCCTCTGTTCTCCTCCTCCCCGACAACTGCAAGGGTGCCCGGTTGGCAGCGGGGGGCCAGCGAGGCGTGGGTGCTCCGCCATCCACGACACCCGGGCTGCAGGGCACAGCTGCTGCGTGGGCCCACACACAGGCTCACCTGCGGGGGGAGGGAGAGTTAAGCCTCCCGCCTACTGGGCCCTGTCCTGTGCCTGGTGCTTTGTGTCATTACTTCACACACACAAAAAAAAAACCCTCAGGAAAAACCCATTAGGTAGGTGGTGTCTGCATCTGAGAGAAGAAGGGCTGCATGGTGGAAGAGTTCCTGAGCTGCGGGGTGAACACAGGGCTGATTTCTCGAAACCCTACACTTCCCACTGAGCCATGCTTCTTCCCATGCTCAGGGGTGCTGCAGAAGCATTTGCATGAAAAAAAACGTGAAACTCAAACTGTCCTTACGCCAACGTGTCAGACGGCAAACCTCTGGGCGTCTGAAAATGAGCTCGGCCTAAGTAAAGCCTTCTCGGGGCTTCAGTCTTTCCCCAAACAAACAGCAGCGAGCATAGGCACCCCTCGTTTGGGTGGCTGGGAGTTTCTCAGTTTTCGCCTGGGTGTCTGAGCGTCAGAAGGCATAATGAGACTCACCATGTAGCCTCTGTGTGGTAGTGGAAGTGGTTGATTGGGGAGCTCACATTTGAGGTCAGTAGCAACAGTGCTGTAAGAGGCGCTCAATACTCAAAATCATCGAGGCTGTAGAATGGTGGGTGCCGGTGGCTGGGGAGGGGGTTGGGGATGGGGCGTCAGTGTTCAGGGGGGACAGAGTTTCAGTTCTACAGTATAAAAGTTCTGGAGATGGTGGTGATGGCTGCACACCATCATGGGTGTATTTAATACCTCTGACGTGTACACTTAACAGGGGTCAAGATGACAAATTCTGACATGTGTATTTCACCATATAAAGAATTGGGGGGAAATATAGTAATGGTACTGGCCTTGGCGGAAGCAGAATTCTGCAAGTGGCCGGGTGATTCTGCCATTTATTTCCCTTATTGCCTGATTCTTAAGAAACGGCAGCCTTCAGAATTCACATTTCTGTTGTTGTTGTTGTTCGGAGTGGGAGAACAAAGCTATCAAACAAACCTCGGGACAAAGTTTTTGGTCTACGGCAAAAACTCCGATGCGACACCCCACGGCGCAGGGACCGACACGCAGCAGCGCGGGCCGGGGCGGGCGCGCACGGAGCCGGCGGCCACTCCTCGCGGCGCGCCGGGCAGCTGGGCCTGTGATTACCCATCCAAAGAGGAAAGAAAAGAGGGGGAAGAAAGGAAAGTTAGTGGCGGGGGTAGAGGTTGGGGAGAGGAGGAGGGCAGGCCAGGCCGACTGGGCCTGACAGTCCCCTTCTAGACAAAGGGCTTGGCGGGAGGAGAGAACCCCGAACGCGCGGAGAGGGGCCAGCGGCTCCTTCCGCGGCAGCGCGCGCCGGCCCCGCCGCCAAGTTTCGCGTCGCGACAGATGGGTCGAGCGGCCGCCCGCCCCGGTTCCTTCCAGACGGCCTGTGCAACGGTGGCCTGTGCAACGGTGGCCGTCTCCGCTCCTCGGCCCGCGGAGCACCGTGGGCTGGCCAGGGCCCTTCCCGTCTGCGTTCCCCACCGACCCGCTGCGAGGAGAAAGCGCGGCAGGCCCCGGGCAGCCCCGCGGGACCTGGGCCCTCGGCCCTCCTTCCCGCGGGTCTCGGGGGAGGCCGGGCTGGGGCTCTCTGGGACGCCTTCCAGGCCTAGGGGGTGAAAAGATGGCCCGGGAGGCAGATCTTGGCGACTCTTTGTCTCTGCACCAGGCTCAGCCCTGGAGGGGGCGGGACAGCCAATGGGCGGGGCCCGGGCTTCGGACCCGACGTTCCCCCTTCCGGGAAAGCGGGCCTGGGCGTCCCGCGGGGACACAGGGGGCCCTTAGGGGCTGGGAAGGCCCTACCCTGTGCCAGGAGGAGTTGCCCAGGCCTCCCACGGGCCGGGGGCTGGGGCCGGAGCAGGGCAGCCGGCCTGGGCCTCACCTGGTCCCAGTGACTCCGGAGGGCAAACCCCGCCCTGATAGCGGGGCTCCCCCAAATCACTGGAGGAAACTGGGGCTAAGCTGAAGTGCTGGCCGGGTGCTAGCACGAGGCCACTGACAACAACGATAATAGTAACACCGTCAGCGTCTGGCTTACCAGCGAGAGCGCGGGGCGCACCACGCTTGATTAAATCACATAATTAGGAGCCACTTTAATGAATATTATTACATTTCAGGCGATTTCAAGAATGGCCTTTTATTTTCTTTGGGCAGGCAGCATAATTATAATGAAGAATTTGAGATTATTAATAAAAACATGAATGGTCTACTTGAAGCTCGCGCCGCGCGGCAGCCTGGCCACCTGGCACGGCTCGCGAACGCGCGCACAGAGGCCCCGCGCGCGCCAGCGCCTGCCAGCCCCCAGGGTCGGGGGACCCAAAGCTCTGTCCTGCTTACGGCCACCCTTTCCCATCCCCAGACCCCCTCCCTGCTTCGAGGCCTAGGTGGGGCCTAGGCCCTCCGCCGGGATAGGACGGAGATGCGCAGAGGCCCGGCGAGGGGGCTCTGGCGTGTGTGTGCAGGGGGGCGTCGGGATGGGGGCATCAGTCTCCGGGAGGCTGATTTATGCTTTGCCAGACGAATCTGTGCTTTCGGAATTGCGCCGTGGCCCTTTGTCGTCAGTCGCTATTAACCTCCCAGCGCGCGGCGGCTCCGCCAGGCAGGCTGCCGTTTTCGGCGGAGCCGGGACCCTCCCGGGGGCGCTTGGGGAGCCGCCGAGGCGAGTAGAGACCGCAGAGGTCGGATATTAAACCAGCGGGAGACAGAATGGCTTTTAGTAGAGCCCCAGCGAACGCTCGCTGCCTCCCAGCCCTGGAGCGTATTTGCATATATAGAGTCTGGGTATTTGTTGCGCGCCAGCACACCTGTGCCAAGGGTGCCAGAAGCTCCCATCGGTCCGCCCTTTTCACTCAAGGAAAAATTCGAGAGATGGAGCCCCCTTGGTGATTTCTGGGGTCACCCCCTGGCTCCTTCCCTGGACTCCTTAGGAGAAAGCCAAGGCGAGTCCACACTGCACTGGCCGGTATTGGCCCTGGGGTCCTGGCTCCAGCCTGGGGGCAGACGCGCCTCATCCATCCAGTCCAGTCTGCAGAGCTGGTGTGGCTGAGGAGGAGGGGCCTCTGAGCCCCCGAGCCCTGCTGGGCCCTCCGTGTCCCAGACCCTTGCAGGGCTGCCCCCTCTGGCAGGCCTGGGGGGCGTGGTGGGCCCTTCTGGGCCAGGACCCCCCAGAATCTCACCCAGTGTCTGCCTGGCTAGGGAGGATTGTGGTCTCAGCTCCAGCTGCGGCTGCGCTCTGTGGGGACACAGCCACGACTGAGGCGGCCGTTCAGCTCCCCAGCTCCAAGGAGCCGAGGACTTCCTTCGTAAAAGGAGCTTTCCTCTTATGCACTCTTAGGAAACCCACCTCCCATGGGGGACAGTCCAGCCGGGGCTCCACCAACCTTTGGTACCTGCAGGCCGGGTCCAGATGCAAGGCACGCAGAGCTGGGGGACCTGAGTGGAACCGAGCAGGCCCCAGGACTTCGGACAGGAGCATCACCTTCCCTGAAGGCCTGACTCTGGTCTCCACTCACCTCTGGCTAGTGCAGCAGTGGCTGTCCGTGAGTTAGGAGTTTCGATTACATGCTGTTGGATTTTAAAATGTAACAAACATAGGAGCAAAAAAAAAATAATTGAGAAAGAGAAAGGACCTCAGTGTTTCAAGGATCTGAGGGCTCATCCAGTTCAATCCCCTACTAGAGACAGAAAAGAAAACATTCTCCATGCCACTGTAAACATAGTGTCTGCTTGAACGCCCCTGGGGACGGGGAACTCATTACCCTACGAAGCTGAACATTGCCCCTTTCCAGTGTTATTTCGAAATACATTAAAAAGTGATGGTTTGATGTTGCTGTTATCTTTTTCATTCAAATAAGGGAATGGCCAATATGGTAATAGAAGTTGTGCTAAATGTTTTTGTTTTGTTTTTAATTTATGAACCCTGGGAACTGCTCAGAAGTGGAGGGGGACACGTGATCTCCCACCAGCGATTCGATCCGCTGGGGGCTGTGGAGCCTGGGTGGTGACGCCAGCAGGCACTCTCCCCTTCTCTCTCCTTTCCCCACCTCCTCCTCTCCAATCTCTGTCTCTCCTCTCTCTCTCCTCTCTCTGTCTCTCTCACCTCTCCTCTCTCCTTACCCCACCTCCTCCTCTCCTCTCTGTCTCTCTGTTCTCCCCTTTCTCTCTCCCCCCTCCTCTACTCTCTCCTTACACCTCTTCCTCTCCTCTATCTCTCCCCTCTGTCTCTCCTCTGTCTGTCTCTTTCTCTGTCTCTCTCCTCTCCTCTCTCCTTACCACACCTCCTCCTCTCCTCTCTTACTGTTCTCCTCTTTCTCTCTCTCTCTCCCCCTCCTCTACTCTCTCCTTACACCTCCTCTTTTTCTCTGTCTGTCTCTCCTCTCTCTCTCTCTCAACGTGTCCACCCATCCCGGGAGCAGCCCAGTGTCTGCATGGGAAGCCCAGCGGCCTAGTGGCCGGTGTCGAACAGAAAATGCCTAAAATGTCACCTCTGGCAACAGATGATCCTCCCTTGTCTCTGAGTTTCTTTTACTGGGAGAAGAGAAACTTTCTTCTTACAGACCAAAAAAGTTTGGAAATGCAGCCATTGGCCACGTGGGCTGACGGCTCAAAGACCCCAACACTTGGCAGCCCTGGGGCCTGGGGAGGCTGGGTCAGCGGGAGAAGCTAGCCCCTTCCCCCACCGGCAATCCTGCCAGAGACCTTTTACAAGGCCCTTTGCTGGGGGGGGGGGGGCGTCAAAAACAACAAAAGGTAAACAAAAACGCCACTTTAAAAAGGAGAGTCTCTTTGTCCAGAGTGGAGTAGAAGTTCCTCCCCAAGTGAGAAAGCCCAGCGACCCAGCGCCCATGAGCAGAGCCGGTGAGCAGCGAGAGGGAGGGAGACCTGTTGAACTTTGCAAGTTTAAAAAAAATTTAGTCAGTGGAATAGCACTATATTTTTGGACACTTCCTCCTGGTAAAGAAATATGGACTTAAATTATTTTAGTTGGTCCGCGCTCACATGCGAGATACCCAAACTGTCTTTAAAACATAATAATACTCATCTGCCTCTTGCTGCAAAGGCAGGTGCTGGCACCTGGTCCCACGCAGGGCAAAGGCCGCCATGCCAGCGCCTGGACGTGGGGAAGGAAGCCCCGGGCTGTCCCGCTGGACCCAGAAACACGCTTGGAAAAGCTAGTCATTCCACCTTAGACCTCCAATATTTTATAATAAAGTGGTGGTTTTGTTTTTTTATTTCATGTAACTTTCAAGAATTTAAACACACAAAAATGCAGGGGTGGGGAAATGTTCACAATTTTGATAGCCACAGTTGTAAATAGGAACATTCATTCATTTCTCATAAGATAAATATTTGATACTGGAACTGCAAAATGCACGTTTTATAAACAAACAAACAAAAAAAACCCAACTTTTCTTCCTGCTAAAAAGGCATGTCATTTCATGGAGTTTCCTAAGCAGCAGATGGTTATTCACAGACTTTTAAATTACAACTTTTGTTTTTATAGTTTCCTTTTTAAAAAGGTTTATACTATTATGTACAAAGTAAAAGTACTATCGCAGTGAAATAAAGAGGTTTAAGGCAAAGAGAGAAGTTCACCCTCAGTCCTCAGGGAGACAGCCCTGACTCCCAGCTCAGCCACGGGCACCCGGGGGCTGCCCCGGCCACAGATGGACATTTGGACATGTCTTTCCTGTACACGAAACAGAAGACAGTGTGGAGTTATATATATATAATGTGTTCGTTTTTATATATATGTACTTGGTGGGGAATATATTGAATATATTTAATTTACACTGTACCACACCTTCAAAAAATAAAATGTATATTTAAAAAAAAAAACAAGAAAAGACAAAAAGCGATAAGAAATGAGTATTTACACGTTTTCTTCCTTCCTTTAGATCCTGGAGGATTCTGAGTTCCTTTGAAATTCAACGTAGCCACGTGTTCCAAAACTGTGGACCCATACACGCCTGACCGTGTGTGCCTGCGTATACACGCCTACATACATATGCATACACACACACACACAGATTAATCTTGGAAGAACGTTCTCTATAGCAGAAGCGGCCACTCCGAAAAAATTTAAGAAAAAAGAAAAAGAAAAAATAGGGAAGAAAAAGAAAAGGAAAGTCAGACGATGGCAAGAGCCCTCTGCCCGCCCAGAGGCGGCAGATCTTGGTCCCATGCGGGGCCCTGGCTGGTGCCCGGCGGAGGGAGCAGCGGGGGATTCCGGGCCAGGCCAGGGAGAGGAGGGTCGCTCCGCTGCTGGTGGCTGCAGGCCACACACCCAGGCCCTGGTTCCCGAGCCCGAGCCCTAGCCCTGCAGCCTGCAGAGGCAGTGCCCGGGGCGAGAGGGTGGCGTGGGCAACTCAGGCTGGGCTGGGGACAGAGACACTGACACGGATAGACGGACGGACGCATGCAAGCATGGCCTCGGAGAGGAGGAAGAGGGAGCAAGGGTGCAGCAGGCTAGAGGAGGAAGCCGGGGCGAGGTTGCAGCCCGGCTGAGCCAGTGTGGGATGAGCTTCCCAGGCAGGCCCGGGGCTTCCAATGGCCCAGCCCAGAACTGGTCCAAGGACCCAGGGGGGCCCTTCTCCCGCCAGGTCCCCTATGCTCCTGAAGGTCTGGACAACTTGGGCCCATGCTCTGGGGGGGGGCCCAGGCTGGCTGAGTCTGGAGGGTGGGGGCCTCCTGCTGTCCTCACCAAGCCAACACAAACAAAGTGGCAGAACTCATAGACCAAATAGGAGCTATTTATTCGGTTCACAGTCATGTGAAATGCAGCAATAAAAAATCTTTGGACTTCAGCAAGTTGTTTTAATTTTTTTCTTCTTTTGAAATAATAATAATAATAATAAAAAAAAGTGTCCGACGTCCTATAATGGCGCTTAGGGGATTTTAAAAAAAAGACGAAACCCTAAGCAGCCCACTTTGAAAAAAAAAAACAAAAGAAAAACCATAAAATTAGCATAATCTTATAAACACAAAAAAACTCAAAAAATATTTTATAGTCAGATTTTTGGATTTTTATACCACCTGTAAATTATATATACATAGAATATTGCAGAACCATAGCTAATACACGATATCGTCACTATGAATGCTGGTATAATCTGTATACACTGGCCCTTTCGCGTGATTTTAAATTATTGCATTGTTCGGCGCGGCTGAGGCCGGACCCGGGGCCCACCCGCCACTCTACTCGCTGTCCGACTTGCCCTCCTTGGCGGTGGTGGAGTGGTTGTACAGGCCCTGCGCCATGAGGTGCACGGCTAGCGTGTTCTTGTTGCCCGTGGCCTTCTTGATCTTGGCGCGCTTGTTCTGGAACCAGATCTTGATCTGAGACTCGTTGAGGCTGAGCTCCTGCGCCAGGCTCTGGCGCCGCTGCTCGGTCAGGTACCTGTTGGTCTGGAACTCGGCCTTGAGCCTCTGCAGCTGCTCGGCGGTGAAGGCCGTGCGGGGCCGCTTGTCCTCTTTGTTGGGGTTCTTCTTCTTTGGTTTGCGAGACCTGGGACCTGGGGGGGCACGGTGGAAGACAGAGAGTGGTCAGGTCACCGCTGCTGGGAGGCCCGTCTGCTCACCCAGCAGGCTCTGGGAGGAAGCAGGGACTCCTAGAGGGAAGTGACTCACCCAAGGACACCCAAGGCTGAATGGGCGGGCGGGTGGGAAGTGGGGATGGCCCCCCCCATGGGGGATGGGGTGTGGGCTCCCACTGACCTCCACAACCTGGGCCAGGGAAGCCTGGGCACAGGGTAGGAATGGGGTGAAGAGGCAGGCCTAGGGGGACGCTCTATCGCAAACGGAGGGGCTCCAGGTAAAAGTAAAACCCCTGGATGAAAGCAAAAACCCAGAACTTTCTGGCCTGTTCTTTTCTAGCCCTTTCTGAGGCCCTGTCCAGGGTAGGCGCTGGGAGAGGAGATTGGGGAAGGAGGCAGGGTGGTCAGAAGCAGGAGAACCCTGGGGGCTGTGATGGGAACCCCACAGGGGACACCCCACAGAGGGCCAAGGGCTCTGGGTGCCTCGAGAACAGGAGAGGCCCAGAATATCTGCCTCCACCCTAGTCCCCCTCTGACTCCCACCAATGGTTCTGTGGGCCCAAGTTCATTGTTTTCTTTGAGGACGGGACGGAGCACACCATACACACCCTTCCAGGGCAGGGAAGCAGCACCGAGCCACTGCAGCTCTTTCTTCCCCCGATTGAAGCCCCCAGTCCCCCTGCCCGGGGGAGGGGGCCTGGCTCAGAGTGGGTGCTGACAGCAGTGACCTGCCCCCCTCGCCCCCAGACCTGGGGCTGCCTCCCCAGAGGCAGCAGGGTGGCCCAGCTGACCTTGGGCAGGTCCATACTGCCGACCGCCCCACAAGGGGTCCACACTGTGACCCGCACCCCAGCCCCTCACCGTGGAGCGGCCCGTGTTGGGCAGGGTGGTGATAAGGCTGCGGGGACCTGGGACCCCAGGAGCCTGGGAAAAGGGCAGAGCACAGAGGGCGGAAGAAAGGGATGAGGCGTAGTTTCTTCCTGCGTCCCCTGTGAAGGCAGAGGCAGGCAGGGCCGCTGCTGGGGAGCGGGGCCTCGGGTCTGGTTTTTTTCACCTGTGAGGTGCAGCACGGGCCCCAACTTCATCGGAGGCCCCAGGAAGAGGCTGGAGAAGGCTCGTTCTGGCCTCAGGGAGTGGGAGACAGCGAGGACAGCACCCCAGCTGGCCGGCTGGAGGGGGAGAGGGCAGCCCCAGCGCCCTGCTCTCAGGGAAGCCAACCGGGTACCGGGGCTGTGGGTGCGGGAGAGGGGCGCGAAGGGCGGCTCGGCTCTCGCTCCCCGCCTTTTTGTTTCCAAAGCACCCCCACGCTCACACTCACCCCCACGCGCACACTCAGTCACTGCGGCGCTCTCGCCAGCCGGGGCGGGCCTGCTTCGGTGTGGCCGCGTGGATGGGGCCGGACCGCGGAGGGGAAGGCGGCGGCGGGGAAAGGCCCGCACCTCGCCGCCCGGAACCGGAGCCGGCTCCTCTGCACCCCCTTCCTCCTCCCAAGCGCCTGTTCTTGCGGCTCCAGTCAGTGCAGCCACAAATCAGCCCTCAAAAAGACACCGATTCTCAGAAAAATCCCTAAAATAATAATTTTGTGTTCCTTTCCAAAAGGCAAACAAGAGTCTTGGGCACAGAAGCACAGCTCTGCCGCTGCAAGGAAACTCTCTCCGCCGCGTCTTTCTTGAGCGCCCGGAGCACAACCGGCAGCGCTACCTCCGGGGCTATGTTCGAGCCCAGGAAGACCGGGCCCGGGCCGGCCGTGCCGCCGGTTCGCGCGGGCTGGGGCCTGGCGGGGCTGGCGCGGCGCCGCCGCACAAAGCCCGGCCGCGGCTGCTCGCCGCCCGGCATTGTGAGCCTATATGTTAATTAAATATTAACAAAGGAGGGAGATGAGAACAATGGAGCAAATTTCAGATCTAGCTGGAGAAATTGGAATTTCATGAGAAACACGCACTTTTTTCTGCAGGAAGGCGGCGAGGGGTGCAGGGATCTGGGTAAACGACCCCCGCAAAACAGTTGAGGGGTGGGGGACGAGGGGGTCCGCCGTCAGCTCAGGAGGAACGCAGCTCCTAACCCCACTCCTAATGGCGGTTCCCGCAGACCTGAAACTAACGCCCGCCCGTTGAGGATGTCTACAAGGACACGAACTTAGCTTTTTAAAATCCCAGACCTACGAAATAATACTCCCACTACTGCACACCCCTGCGAAGGCTGCTCCTCTCCTCTCCGTAGCCCCCAGAACGCCTTCGGAGAAGGTCCCTTCAGTTCAGGGGACCGCAGGTGCCCGGCGGGGCGGCCTCTCTGGTCCCAGCCACGCGCGGGAAGGTGCCCTCCCGCAAGGGGCAAGGGGCGACCGGTTCACCCTTTCCGAGTCTCCCCGCGCCTCGGTCAGCCCAGGCCGAGGGGGCAGAAGGAGGAGCAGCGATGGCCCCTGGCCCTTTCTCCCCCACCACCTCTGGGATAACTGGATCACAGGAGGAGTCTGGGGGCTCGGCGTGGTTTGAGTTGAAAGATGGGGGGACCGGGTGGAGAGAGCGCGCTTCTCGGTCTGTCTTCCAGCCAGCCCCGGTCCCACCAAATAAGCTGCAGTCAGGGTGAGGCCGGCAAGGGGTAGCGCGGAGCTGCCCCCAAAGGAGAGAAAGAGAGAGAAAGAGCGAGAGAGACGGGAGAGAGAGAGAGGAGGCCTTGTCCCTTCTGCTGTCCTAAGGAAGTCTGTACTCCCCAGCGAATCCACCCTGCCCCTCCACTCCTGCCGCTGCCCCGCCAGCGCGGGCTGTACAGAATGTCCAATGTCGTGTGAGTCTTTGTGTGTGTATGTGTGGGGGGGGAGGGCTTGTGCTGTCTTCTTCCTCCTGGTTAGTGCCCGCGCCAGCGGCCCCCCAGCTCCGCGGGCCTCCCCACGGCTAGCCGGGACGCAGGGTCCCCGCGGGCTCACCTGAAGAAGGCCGGTCCGAGTAGCGCGTACAGTACACCCAGGCCGGCCAGAGCATGGGCTGCGCGCCCAGGTTGGCGCTGGCCTGCGAGCTGTCCGAGTCCGAGCTCACCGACAGGTCGCCGCCGCCCAAGCCGCGGGCCTTGAGCGCCCCGTCCAGGGGGCCCCCGGGGTCGCTGCCTTTCTTGGCGCCGCCGTGCAGCGAGAGCGTCTTAGACCCGCCTTCCCCGTCGCCCGAAGAGTCGCCGCCACCGGCGGGCAGCTGCACGCCCGCGCCAGGCGCACAGGGCGGATTCTGCCGGGGCTCCCTGGCGCCCGACCCCAAGAGTTGCTGCTCGGCGCCGCCCGCGCCGCCACCTCCCTCGGCACCGCCCGCGCCGCCTTCGCCACCGCCTCTTCCTCCTCCCGCGCCCGCACAGCACGTCCCCACGTCCTTTCGCCGGCCGAACTCGGGCCGCAGGATGTTGTCGATGAAGAAGTTAGTGATGCGGTGCGGGTGCTGGTGGTTGCCTGGCGCCTGCAGGACCGCGGGCAGCATCAGAGCGCGCCGGCGCCCCGTGTCCGCGTCGCCGGGGCTGCCGCCGCCGCCTGAGCCACCGCTGGGGCTGGATTCCGGCTGCCGCTGCCCCTCCACCGCCGCCGCTTCGCTGGGCTTGGGGTCATTCTCCTCCATGCTGTTCACAGCAAATCCCAAATTGGTTCTCCGGACAACCTCCTCCAAAACAGCCTCTGCCCAGCCGCGGCGCACGCGGAGATCCCCGCGCTCTAAGCCCGCCGAGTCTTCCGAGGGCGAGCGCGGCGGCCGCGGCCAGGGCTGGGGTCCTCCAAGTCGCCCGCCGCGCTCGGAGTGGAGGAGCCACGTTCGAATCCACGAGTTGTGTTAAAAAATACCCAGAGTTGCCCCTCTCGCGCAGACGCCGGGAGATTCAAAAGAGTCAGGTCCTCGTCCTTGCAGCGCAGCCGGGATCTAGACAGTCACACGGTCCGGCAGGGACCCAGGGCGCCTCCGGGGCTCCGCGCTCCTCTCCGCGTCCGGCCGCCTCCAGCTCCGGCGCCGCCGCCTCGGCCGCCCGGGGCGAGAGCCGCGCGCATGCAGGCAGGGCGCTCCTCGCGCTCAGGCGCGCCCGGGCCGGCTCCGGCGCGCCGCCGCCCGCCGTCCCGCCCGCGCGCCCCAGCCGGCCTCCGAGGGTGCGGGGCGCGAGCGGTCACGCGCCGCCGCCGCCCACTCGCACATGGAGGCCCCTCCGAGCGGCCGCCGCGCCCCGCTGCGGGCCGGGCGCCCCTCCGGCGAGCGGCCGCGCCCCGCCGAGCCCCGCGGAGCTCCGCGGCGCGAGTCGCATGGGTGAGGGACGGGAGGCGGGGGCCGGGCCGGGCCGGGCTGGGCCGCCCGCGCTCCCTCGCCGTCCGCGCGCCCTCGCCGCCTCGGCCTCCGCGCGGGCTCGGGAAATTTCCAGGCCACTTAGCGCAACCTGAGACACTTTCACTCTGGATTTTTGTTCTTATTTTTAACAGAGCCCCCTCGAGTGACGTCGCAGGCCGGTCTCCTGGACACGTGCCTCGGGCCAATGGCCGCCGCGCCGCGCGTCCACGTGACGCGCCGGCGGCCGCTCGGTGACAGGGGCCGCCCGCCGCCCCTCCCCCGCCGCCGCCGCCCCTCCCCCCCTTAAAGCGGCCGCGTCCTCCAGCTCCGGGTACGGGAGCCCCAACCCTGCGAGACCCCGACCACGTCTCCTGAGCTCGCGCGCGCTTTCCCCGTCGCTTCTCGGTTCAGGGATCGGAGGAACCCGCGGCAGCCGCGTCGGGTCGTCCCGGTGTGCGTACGAGGACACGCACCGGTGGATCGCTATTTTTAACATTTCCATATTGTTTACCGTGGGGAGAAATCCCACAATTCCTTGCACAAAAATGCATAAATAATATTAAACGAGCTGCCGAGATACAAAGGGACTTTTGTAGTCCGCTTTCCTTGCCGGTGGACAGGAATATTGTCACTCACAGTTGACTTTGGTAGCCCAGCAGCTTCCTGTCTCACACGCAGGGCTGGCGCGCAGGACGCTCCTCTGCAGACACTTGGTGTAAGTGTGCGCGTGCGCGTGTGCGTGTGCGTGTGCGGGGAGGCGCGTGCACGCCGGAGCTTCCCACCCGGGCACTGGTCCTGCGGAAACAGGAGCAGCTTCGCAGGAGCTGGGGGGCCGCTGGAGGCCGCGTTTGCGGAGGGAAAAGTCCAGGAGCGGAGGGGCTTATTACCGGATCTGCCTTTTTTTGCAGAGGAAAGGGGCTGACCCTTGAGCCCCTGGAAGCCATCAGAGAGAACTCGCTCCCCCAACCGGGCCCCACCATCCGCACCTCCCCCCACTTCTCTACCCTAATTGAGGAGCTATCGGGCTCTTCGCCTCATTTTCTTTGTCTCAAAATCCCTTAAATTAGTGTCACAGAAGAGCAGGGCCAATTTGAAAGAATGAGTCCGCCAGCAATTTGTTTCTCCCTCCCTCTCTTTTCTTTACCTCTTTTATAAACTTTCTTCCCAGCTGCTGTCTGAATGTCCAATTCCAACTTCTGTTTCCTCTTCTCTCCCCTCCTCTCTCAGCCTCCTTCTGTGCATCCCCACCAAACACAGTACTTGCGCCAGGCTCTCCTGTCCATCATTTAAAATGCATTTTTTATGGAAATTTGTGAACTGCAAGAAAAGTCCAAAAAGGCAGCTCCGAGGGTGCTGGAGATTTCCCACAACACGAGCACCCACAGTGGATAGATGGGGGGTGGGGGGCAGCACGGGAGACCCAAGCCCGGCCCCCCTGGGCATCTGCAGGGTGCCCAGTGGCCCAGGTCCCTGGAGGAGCTGAACCCCATGGGGAGCTGTTGCCCAGTGAACCCCCAGCGCTGGGGGACTGCGGGTGGGTGGGTCTGGGACAAGCACCCCCAGGCAGTGTGGCCTGCCAGGACATCTTGAGGCTTGAAGGCTGCGCCCTGGCCTGGCTCAGGGCTGCTCACATCTGGACCCAGGTCCTCACTTGCTCTGCACCAACTCTGCCCACCGTAGTGGGCTTCAGAGTGCTGGTTGGGTGGGACAAGAAGCGACAGTGACCAGAGCGCCCTCAAGGGACATGAACCTTAGAGGAGGGGGTGTGGCGTGGAGTGCAGGGAGGTGAGAGGAAGTGGACGGCCACATCATCTAGCCACTAAAGGTGGCAGGTGGGGGCAGGCAGGTGGCCTGGGTGGCAGGCTCTAGGCTCATAGGGAATGTCATCTGTCCTCTGTGCATCTCAGGCAGGGTGGGGAAGCCACTTCTCTCTCTCTCTCTCTCTCTCTCTCTCTCTCTCTCTCTCTCTCTCTCTCTCTCTCTCGTGACTCCCCTCTCTCTTCCTGCCCCCCTTGACTTTTCCTGCATGGAAGGGGTCCTCATTCAATTTTCTGGCTAGGCACATTCCTGCCAGGGGTCCTCCCTGGGTCTCAAGAAAACGAACCCTAAAGTCTACGTGTCTTTAGGAAAACGGGGTTGGCGAGAATGTGGGAAATCCTATTGGCACATACTTAGGGTTTGGGGGAAATTTTCTGAAACTCTGGGGACTCCAAATCGTCACCAGGCAGGGATTGAGTAGTCCCATTATTTGGGGTCTCCTGAACCGGTATAGGTGGAGTGAGGACCCAGAGATGTTTCGCTTCCTGCAAAACCGTTCTAGGTTAACTTCCTCACCTGTCCCGTGAAAACCCGATTAGGCCATCTCCTGAGATGTCTCTAATGTTGTTAGGAACTTCTGCCTCTGATTACCCTAGTGTTAAATGCGTCAGAGGTACTGGACTTCAGCTGTGATCTTTTCTGCAAGCTGGACCCAAGTTCGTGGCTGCAGCGTAAACTCCTGAGCAGCAGCGTGTTACTTCCATCTGGCCTGTGTGGACGGAGACCTTCCCACACAGGGTCTGCGGGCTGCAGGGACCTTCCCACACGGTCTGCGGGCTGCAGGGTCGGGTGGGTTTGAGGAAGCGGGGAATTCCTGGGCTACTCACCTGGAGAGGGGAGGTGGAGGGAGGAAAGGGGCAAGAGAAAGGAATGAGGAGAGGGGTAACTTGAGGGTACCAGGCCATCAAAAGTGGACCGAGCAGGACATAACTCCTGGATACAGTGGGTACGATCCAAAGGGCCAGGGACCAGGGTGGGGGCAGCCGCTGAACGTGGGATTGCTCAGGGGCCGGGGGATCCTAAGTTTTACAAACACAGAAAGCTCCACAAGCTGCTTCAGGAAGCCTCTAGAACGTGCCTGAGGCCCAGGCCGCTCCTGCTCAGCCGCGTTTTCTGGGGACGCGGGGCGCCAGTGCTGGCGGTCGGTCGGCGAGGCGCAGGTGCCAGCCCCGGCGCCTTCCCCGCCCGCATCAGGGGCTGCTTTTCTGTGCGCGATCGGACGACTTTTGTTTCTCCCGGAACATAAAGTGGGGCTCCGGCCGGGAACCCCGCTCGCCTTCCACCCTGGGCCGGGACAGCGGGCGGCCGCTCTCACCCGCTTGCAGAGAACGGCCTCCATGTTCCCGAGGACGCACAAAGAGGCCGGAGAGGGTGCGGGGGACGCGGCGCCCAGGCTCGTTGGTCCAACCAGGCTGACGCTGGCATCGCACAGGCAAGCTCTGCCGAGACTCCCGGAGACCCCGGGCGCCAGGCCAAGGATTCGGCCTCCTGCGGTTTCTTAAAACGAGGTCTGAGGAGGGTGACTTTTTGGGCCGCTCGCTGTCCCCTCACTGACCCCGCTTCTCTAAGTTGCCGAGGGGACAAGCGGAAAAACGAACGCAAAGAGAGCTGTTCGCTCGATGGGGGTCTTGTCGCTCGGGGTGGGGGTGGCGATGTCCAACACTTGCTGCATTTCCGCCCGGGCGACTCGGGCCTGGCCAGCCACGCAAGGCCAGGCCCTGGGCGCCGGCAGGCGACTGGGGCGGAGGAGAGACGCCTCTCGCTGGGCGGGGAGCCGCGACCGGCCCGGCCGCAGACAAAGGCCTGAGTGAAGGGGCGCAGGGAGCAGGGGATGGGGCAGGAGGGGACAGCGGGCACCGAGGGCGAGGGCGCGTCTGTGCTCATCCCCAAGCGAAGGAGTTCAGGCCCGGAGACCCAGCGTGGGAACTCGGGGGGTTGGGGTCTGGGGTTAGGGACCACGCCCGAGTAACCCCAGGAAGGAAGGGGTTAACGGCAGCAGTGGCGAGCCTGGAAGCGTCGTGGGGACTGGGGGTGCACACGCCATCGCGCGCCTGGCTCTTCGCCCGTCCCCGCCCCAGGCCCGCCGGGGGCGCCGCAGTCGCGCGGGGCAGAGCCCGGGCCGTGGTGGCGGCGGAGGGCTGCGGGCAGCGGGTAGCGGGTCGGCTCTGCCGGGGCGCTGCAGGAACACCTGTGCTGAGCCGACGCTCCCTGCGTGCTGGGGAGCCGAGTGGGTGAGGCCCCGGCGGAGGACCGCCCTCCTGTCCCGGCTCAGTGCTTAGCCCCAGCGCTGGGGGACTGCGGGTGGGTGGGCAGATATCCAGAGCTGGAGACTGAGGGTGCGGAAGCCAGCCCGTCCCTAACCTGGTTTCCCGTTAAAGCAGACGCTTCCGAAGACACTCGGAAGGATGGCCTTGGTTGGCCTGTAAACCCCACACACAAACGAAATCTTCCTGGCCGCAGCCCGCCCTCCCTTGGCGGAACTCCAGGGCCAGAGGACTCCCGCTTCGCATGACCTGACTTTTCTGGGAATCACTTGCCTCTGAGGCCCCCTTTTCTGCTCTCAGCCTGCTTTACTGCTGCTCTTAATTCCATGAAATGTGGCCCCCTCCTATGGAAGTTGGGCCCACTTCCACCCAAAGCGGAGCCTGCGTCTTCCCCAGACAGACCTGCATTCTGGGGTCTGGTCTTGGGGTCTGGTTGGATTTCCCTGGGGCTGCTGTTCCAAGTCACGGTTGGGAGCACAAATTGTGCTCCACATCCTAATGTCTGGACTGTAATGAACATGTCCCCTCTAAACTGCAGCAACCCAGAAGGAAGCGGTGCATTCCAAATAATGTAGAGTCAAGTAAGTAAAATTAGTCTGCTAAAGGAATTTGAGGAATGGCACCCATTGCTTGAGCGGGCTAGGCACACCAGAACAGAAAGGAAAAACATATATTATAAAAAGATAATGAGCTTTGAAAAAAACCAGCCGCCTTCTCTAATTCTTACAATTATTTTCAGATGGAAGAAATTCTAGTGTTGATCCTTCTGTATCTTCCTTTTGACCTTTGGAAAGAAAACAAGATATTCAAAAGGAACTCTGAAACCATGGCTTCACCTCACAGAGCATGAAGTTTCTTTTCTTCTCTTTCTTTCCCTAAAGGCCACAGGTAAATCAGAGCGGCTAGTTCCGCATAAACTCCTATATGCTGATTTCCCAGCATTTTTGGAAATATGATTTGAGTGACTAGAGATTTGTAGAATTTTAGGTAAGTACAGTACAGGTTTAACTCAAACCAGCTGGATCCGGTCCAGCCAGACTGCCTACAGCTAGTTAGACGATAACACATTAGTCTAGGTTTAATGTAAGGAAGAGAATTCCTTAACAATCACCCCCATTCCCAAATACTGCAGACACTGAACAGTGCTTAACTGGGGGGAATCCAATTAGATTCATATCCTGGTTACGTGAGGGGAGACAGATGTTGTAAATGTATGTTGTTAAAATCATGGAATTTATTTCTTTTCCCCTTTATCAAATAGAAATATGTAAAGATATAGTTTCACATAAAAGGGTGACTACATTGCGAATTAAATTCAAACATTCCCTCTACTTAAATTATCGATCAATTCCTCTGAGTTCAACAAAACATGAGTATCTTTAACTGATGCACATCCTTGTGCTGATGGCGTGTGTGTGTGTGTGTGTGTGTGTGTGTGTCCCTGTATGCAGTCGGTTCCTGTGTTAAGTATAGACGCCCATGTGAAGCATGGCGACCTTTTACAAGCACAAAGGCTCAGTCATGACCTTCATGGTCTCACACTCGGAAGGGCACTGGTGTCAAGCCTGAATCATGGGCACCTGCCTTCAGCATTTGTCAGGGCCCGATCTACCCATCCCTGGGCAGCTGTCCTGTCCCCCCCCCTCCCTCCTAGCACTCCTCTTTTCCTCTCACCCCAGCACTTCCAGCTCCATTAAAAAAAAAAAAAAAGCCCAGCAAAGCAATATTTTTAAGCTAAAGCACATTATGGAAGTGTTCTCTTTCTCCTCCAAAAAACTCCTCTTTCGTCTTCCCAACCCCTGTAAGAAATATCCCAATTCTCTGCAGGAAGCCTCTCTGTGTTGTATTGCACGTTATGGAGTTTCGGGGTTTTTGTGCGTGTCTCACATCAGTTAATCCCCTAAGACACAACAGCCTCTGTGATGACGGCAAAGTTCAGCAACTCTACACCGTTTGGAGTCTTCACACAGGCTGGGAGAAAGAAATGGGATACGCACGAGGATTTCCCACATATGTAGCTAATGCCCTTAAATTCCTCGGGATTTACACCTCCCCATCTACCGGGAGCCAGAAATGCGAGCTGTTCTAATTAACTGCCTGCTTTTAGTTCTCAGCTCCAACTGCAAGGTCTAACTTGGCTGTGGCGCAGCAACCCTTGGGTTACAGATGTCCGGGCGTCGCACCTGGGGGAGGGGCTCTGAGCGCCGCCAGCCTGGACCGGAAGGTTTGGCACCCAGGCGCAGCGGCCGCGCTTCCAGGGCAAAGCGGGAGTTCCCCAAAAGACACACGTAAATGTTGGGCGACATTTAGGGTTTTCTGTCTTGTTTGCAGATACTAGTTCGGCTGCAGCTCGCGCAAGACAGCCCTGAAAGCTAGGGCTTGGAAAACGGGACCTGGAACCAAGTCTCCCTCGGTTGGAAACCTCGCTCCCCTGGCGTCCTCCGCAATCAGCGTACAGAATGGATTTCAGATCAAGATCCCCAAAGTGGCGAGCATCTGCCAGGGTACGAGACAGGGCTTCAAGCAGGCTTGTAGCCTTTCTACCCATGCGAGAATCTCTTGTTCGAAGTGGAAACAAGTGGAAAACCAAAAACTGAGCAAAAAGAAAGCGGCAACGCCGGTCTGGCGCCGAGCAGAGCTCCCTCTGGGGGAACCAGGTGCCTGGCGCCCTCAGGCTCGCTGGCGGGTGCGGGTGGGGGCAGGTTGGGGTGGGAAGAGGGGCTCCCCGTGCGAGGAGGCGCCCAGGCCTTCCTGGGGTCCTGGGAGGGGGGCAGGCGCATTCTTAAGCACCCGCCACGGTCCTGGCTGCTTTGCGGAGCTGGAGGGGGCCCTGTGCTCCCCAAGTCACCCAGGAATGACCCAGAGATGTTTGGGGGAGATCAGGGCTTGCACGCCCAGCCCAGCACAAGGGGGGGCAGCTGTCTTGGTGTCGGGCAAGATCAGGTCCACGCTAGAGCTGGGAGCCGGTGGAGGTGCGTGAGGGTGCAGGCCTTGGCTCGCTTGGGTGTGACCTGGTCTCCTCCTTCCCGAATTAACAGCTTTAGCAGGGGCCAAGGCCTCTCTCTCCTGTCCCCTTTCTAAATTCCCCTCCCCAACCTCACTGTGGCAATTGGTAGGCCGAAGGGACCCCCTCCAGGCTGGAGCTCACAAGGCTGGATCACTAGGCGACCTCAGAGCAGGTTTCCTCCCCGGGTCAAGGAAATCAGTTCCGCGTCTCCCACCCCACGCCATCTGGATAAGCCGCGCATGCATGGGCGAGCACGGGTTTAGGGGTGCTTCCTAGTGACCTGCCGTGTGCCCAGCCACGCCCCAGAATCACCAAGGAAGTCTGTGGCTTGGGGCGGGGGGTGTCCACACTCGCGTCCTCTGGCTCCGAGAAGTACCCTGTGGATGCGCCCTAGCCGCGCTCCTGTCTTCTAGGGAAGGGGGTCCTTGGGCCCTGTCGGGACTCTTGGTTCCACAGCCAGGGCCCAGGGAGGCAGAGCGGGGATCCAGGAGGTGGGACTAGATGCTTAGCGAACTTTTCCTCCTTGGCGACAGCTTGCTCCCCCATTCCGGAAATCCTTGCCTTGGAGGGGCTGGGCGCGGGCGGAGAGGCGAAGGGAGCGGCTGGGGGGACAGGAGCAGAGGAGGGGGACGCGGGCGGGGGGCGGGGCTCCCCAGCTCCCACCACCCGGAGCACGCCGGGCCCCAGGACTCGGCTCCGGTGCGGCGCATCGGGTGCATCGAGGGACGGCCCGGGGCGCGGATTTGTGAATGAACCGCTGAGTTCTTCGCAGCTCACAGATCAGAGGGCTGCGATGGCCCCAGCGACGTGGTCCAATGAGCCGCTGCAATGGTGCTTAGCGACAAGGCAGGGGGCACGGCCCGGACTCCGAGTTTCCGCGGAGGGGGAGGGGGCCCAGCGGAGGCAGCAACTTCAAAGCCGGTTGTCTAGACTCGGTGAAAGGGTGGGCTCTCCCTGGGCGGCACGGTTTGAAAAGGCACCCCCCAACCCCCACCCGACCCGAAAGCCCGAAGGCGTTCCCAACGCAAGCGATCGTGACTCTGAGCTCCGCGCCCTCCCCTCGCGCGTCTTTGGCGTCTCCCCGGGGACCCTGGGGGCCATCACATCCTGAGACCTAATCCGGTTACTTCCGGGCGCGGGTCTCCACGGCCTCCGGGCCGGCTGCCTCGCTTCCTTAAGTAGCTGTGTGGGTCAAAGCTCCCCCACCGCCCGCTCCTCTCCTAAAATGGGAGTCTCTGGCGGCTTCCCAGGGCCGGGGGGAGGGGCGGGGTGGGGGAGGGGCGGGCACAGCCTCCCGCACCCCCGCGGCGGCCCCAGTCCCCCCAGAGAGGAGGCGCTGGGGAAACCTCGCGCTCGCGGGCGTGCGAGGGTGCGCCCGCTGCCCGGCCCCGCGCCCCCTGTGCGGGTCTCCGCTAAAAGGCCACCCTCTCGCCTCCCACCCTCGCGTCCTAAGCATTCCCCGCCACGCTCCACCTGGGGGGGGAAGGGCAAGGGGACGGAGCGGCCGTGGGGGTGGGGAAGGGGAGCGAGGTCAGAGGTTAGGGGGGATTACGGCTGGCTGGGTGCCCCCGCTCATCCTCCGTGGCCTGGGGAGGAATCGGTAGCAAGGGGTCTGGACTTCTTTTTAAAAACCGAATTTTTTAGGAAAACTCGGGGGTGGGTTGGGGTGGGGGGGGGGAAGTCTGCGGGATTACAGGCCGGGCAGTGGAGGACCGTGGAAGGGCCAGGGGGAGACGCGGGATCTAGGGGCGGGGGCGTGCAAGGGAGGCGGACGTGCTGCGCACAGGGGTCTCTCCTCTGCCCCGCCCCGCGAGGGGGGACCCAGCTGGGGGAGGGGGAGAGGCAGAGGTGCACTCCTTTGCCAAGCCCCCGCCCGCCCTCGTTCCCAGCCCTCTGGGGGCCCCTGGAATACGGGGGCTTCTGAAGCTATGGCAGCCAAGTTTAAGACAAAACGTGCGTCTGAGGTTTCCTTCTCCACCTGCCCTGCTCCTCACCCCCACTCCCCACCCTCCAGAGGGGCTCTGCAGGACTGTCACATTTCTCTCCAGCGCCCAGGAGGGGCGCCTTCACTCTGAGGTCTAACTGGCAACTCAATTGCACATGTTAGAATGAGAACATTTGCGCGGTGGTACCCCTGGCTCCCCAATGTGCTCCTTCCCAGTTTTCCCATTCACCGCGTTGCTCCCCCAAACCCCTAGGAGACATAGTGATTCCTTCCCCTCTCGGAGAGCCACACCCTGTTGGTTGCTCCTTCCACGTGCACTGCAAGCCAACCCACTTCTCCTCCCTCCTCGCTGTCACTAAGGCCTTTCTCCTCCACCCAAGGGCCAAGACTTTCTCCTAACTGGTCCTCCACCTCCCAGGTGTCTCTGTCTCCACACAACAGGGTAAGCCTTGAGATCTGAGCCTAAGATCTGACCATCCTGTCCTTGGCCAAAGCCAGTGGTTTCCAGCACACATTCTAATTCCAGAATTAGACACATGTCCTTCTATTGTCCTTCAAGTTTCCATGAGAGCCACCTGCAGCCTCCCTCACCTGAGGTTATAACTCTGGTTTTGCCAGTTCTCCAGCCTCCAAGCCACTCCCACTCTGGGGGTTCCTTCCCTTTTGTGCCTGCTCTTCCCTTTGTCTGGCCTGGTCCTTCCTGCAGGTCCCTGGACACAGACTGACCCAGAGAGAGACCACCCGCCGAAAGCAGCCCCTGATCCAGTGGGTTCTTCATGACACTTCTGCTACCTGACGTTGTCGATGTGTTTGTTATCTGGTTCTCTTCTAGAGTGCCCCCTTCGGAGGGCAGGGGCTTCATATTTTTCAGTCCTGGAAGAAACACTGGCTTACAATAGCATCAAACGAGCAGCCTCAAACTCCTTGGCCTCAGGACTGCTTTGCACCCCTAAAAAATTATTGAGTGCCCCAAAGAGCTTTTGTTTATTTGGAATCTATCTGTTGATTTTTACTGTATTAGAAATCGAAATGGAAACGTTTTAAATATATTGATTCATTCATTTATAATGACAATAAAACCCTACTTCATGTTTGCTGTTTAATGAACATTTATGATATTCTCCAATAGAAAAAAAAAGTTAGTCTGATGAGTGGTATTATATATTTTTCATATTCCTTTAACATCTGGCTTAATAGAAGATAGCAGGATTCTAATTTCTGCTTGGGCAATCCATTGTTTTGGTTTAAGTGTATGAAGAAAATTCAGCCTCTCATAGATTTGTAGTTGGAAAAGGGAAGAGTATTTTATCAGCACTGGCATATAATGGTGGATATTGTCCCTTGATGTTGCACTAAAATTCAACAAGTGGTAGTTTTTTTAAAGGTTGCTTGTAATATGGAAACTGAACATTTCATACTCTATTACATTAAAATCCATTGATCTATGTTACACTTTGAATGGATCTTTTATACACACAATGTTTTGTAACGTCGTTCATTGGTCATTTGGAAAATATTGGTTCACTGACTTATGCAGTTCTCCCCAGTGTTGCCAGATTTCATTAAACAATATCACAAAATCACACTTGTTACTATCACCGCTGATCTCATCAGAAAGCTCTTTAAATATTGCGAAGTTGTCTGGCTCACGGTAGAAACAGCATGGTGGTTCCTCAAAAGATTAAAAATAGAATTACCATATGATCCAGCAATTCCACTCTTAGAAATATGAAAACATGTCTACACAAAGGCTTGTACAGGAACGTTGAAAACGGTGTTATTCGTAACAGCTCCAGAGTCGAAACAATCCCCATATCCAGTTGACAAATGCGTAGAGAAAAGTGTGGTGCACTCACATCATGGGATATTATTTGGGCCCGAGGGGTGTTGACTCTGTAATCCACACTCTCCGCCTAGACGTGGCCCTCCCGACACACAGCTCTGGTCGTGTCCTTGCCTTGGCATCAAGTTCGAGAAGTGGCATCCAGTGCCTTCCTTCCCACCTCCCTCACTGTGCGCCCTGCGCGCGTTCTGAACCGTAGCGGGACCACTTAACTCACAAGGCACTTTCCAGCCCCCAGACCTGTTTTTTTTCAGTATCAATTATGAGACTCTAAGTTCTACCAGAGCTTTCTACTGCATTAAAAACTGGGAAATCTAGGATTGGAAAGGAAATGTTGTCTCTTGGTAAATTTGAGATCTGGAGTGTGAGTATTATTTGGAAAACAGCCATTCATTTCAAAGTGTTAAGAAGTATACATTTTCTTTAATAACACGGCTATTGAAAATATCAAATAATGAAAATGGTTATGTGTGTCTGATCTAAAATTTGATTACATATGTTATTGAAGTGAGGTTGATTTGCTAAAATATTGTGGCAAAATGCATATAACATAAAATATAACATCTTAACCATCTTAATAAGTGTACACAGTTCAGTGGCATTAAGTACATTCTCCATGTTGTCATCACCACCATCCATGTCCAGAAATTTTTCACCTTGTAAAATTGAAACTCTGTTCCCAGTAAACAATAACTCCCATTCCCTACTCCCCCAGGCCCTGGCAACCACCTTCTATTTTCCGTGTCTGTGAATCTGACAGCTGCAGGTGCCGCATATGAGTGGAGTCATGCAGTACTGGTTCTGTCGTGACCGGCTTATTGCATTTGCATAACGTCCCCAAGATCCTCCCATGCTGTAGCATGTGTCAGAATTTCCTTC